ACGGCTGTTCCTCCCGGGGATGAAGACCCCGGCGAAGGGCAGCGCGGAGCGGCGAGGGGCGGCCGGGGGCTCTGCGCGCTCGCGGTAGCACCGAGCACCGAAGAGTCCCGGCGCCCAGAGCGGTGGCATGGACCGCCAGCTCAACATCAGCTGCCTCGGCGGTGCGACGCCGGATGCCAGTAACCGGAGCGGGTCATCCGGCGGGCTGGAGGGCGGCAGGGCACAGCTCTCCGTCTTCAGCGTGCTTGTCCTCACTCTCCTGGCCATGCTGGTGGTGGCCACTTTCCTGTGGAACGGCTTGGTCCTGGCCACCATCTTCCGCGTGCGCACGTTTCATCGGGTGCCCCACAACCTGGTGGCATCCATGGCCATCTCCGACGTGATGGTGGCAGCCCTCGTCATGCCCCTGAGCTTGGTGCACGAATTATCGGGGCGGCGGTGGCGGCTGGGTCGCTCGCTTTGTCAAGTGTGGATCTCCTTTGACGTTCTGTGCTGCACTGCCAGCATCTGGAACGTCACTGCCATCGCCCTCGACCGCTACTGGTCCATCACCCGGCACCTGGAGTACACGCTGCGCACCCGGCGCCGAATCTCCAACATCATGATCGTGCTTATCTGGGCGCTCTCTGCCTTCATCTCCCTGGCCCCACTGCTCTTTGGCTGGGGAGAGACTTACTCAGAGGACAGTGAGGAATGCCAGGTAAGCCAGGAGCCTTCCTACACCATCTTCTCCACCTTCGGGGCCTTCTACCTGCCCCTGTGCGTGGTGCTGTTTGTCTACTGGAAGATCTACAGGGCGGCCAAGTTTCGCATCGGATCTCGGAAGAGCAACTCCATCACCCCCGTCTCACCAGAAGCCCTGGAGGTAGGTCACCTGGCTTGTATTTTGCTCTAGGGAGCTCTTAGGAGCAACAGGGCTGAGCTGCACCCAGGGTGTGAAGGAATGGGATCCCAACACAGCTGGGAGGATCAGCTGGTGAGCAAATGGAATTTGAGAAGGGTCTGGATTTACCCATGCAAAACCTTCCTGGGTTGTGTCAGTTGATCCTGAGAATGATGACTGTGCACTGTAAAGGTTTCTTAAGGGGAAAGGAGAAGTATTTTAACTGTCCCACCTTCCTTATTAAGAACTCTTGATGTGTTTGGAGAAAGCAAGACTTGTGTGCATGGCTTGTGGTTGTGTGCCTCTTTTGCTGATCCAATCATAAGCAGGGAAATAATCTTCTTGTGATATGTGAGCAATTCTATGCACACATATGTCCCTATTGGCTCAGGTCACCCACGAGAGGATCACAGCCCCAGCCTCACTCCAACCTGAGCATGACGTAGATGGCTTGCATTTCCCCGTGCCTTGGCTGCATACCCACTGTGCAGGATCAGCCGTCCGAGACACATACAGTGTGACTTGTGTTTGTCTTTGGCAGATAAAGGAAGCTGCCCAGCAGCCACAGATGGTCTTCACTGTCCGGCACGCCACGGTTACATTCCAGACAGACGGAGACACGTGGAGAGAGCAGAAGGAGAGGAGAGCTGCCCTCATGGTGGGCATCCTCATTGGAGTCTTCGTGCTCTGCTGGATTCCCTTCTTCATCACGGAGCTCATCAGCCCACTCTGCTCCTGCGACATCCCACCCATTTGGAAGAGTATTTTTCTATGGCTAGGCTATTCCAATTCCTTTTTTAATCCCCTCATTTACACTGCTTTCAACAAAAACTACAACAATGCCTTCCGGAACCTATTCCTTAGACAGCACTGAGCAAGAGAAGCTTTCTCTGCCCCACGAGGCTATTGTCAGCTCTCAGTGGAACCTAACAAACTCCTGAGGAAGCTGAGAACTACAAACACTGCAGTGATGCTAAGGATGCATCCCCATAGTTATGTCCCAGCAATGGTCCCCATTCCTATGCAGTTGCTATTTTTCATGAAGCAGCATGCGAAGGTTTCTTTGGCTAGCAGCAAAGAGTTCTGTCTTCAGTGCCCCACTGCTTTCCTCCTCCCTTCACAGTGATGCTCTCGGGACATTGAGGTGGCAGTGATGGCTTCTGGGAAAGGTTCCCATTTGAAACTCTGGTGTGGCCCACTGCTGGTCTCCTGGAGCATTAATCAGCTTTGTCCCATGTGCAAAGCTGGGAGCCTTCAGTGTCAGGGCAGTTGGTGACTATGGATGAAACTTAATGTTCCTGGCTTGGTTGAACAGACTGTCATAGCTTTCACTGGTAGAGATTGTCAAGTGTTTGTGTTTGAGAGATAATGTCCTCGTTGAAGGGTTAAAAGCAGAATCCCAGCCCCAATGCCCTTTTTCACATCAACAGCAGATCGTGCTATTTGCTATTCTGTTCCTTGTAGCAGGTTCTTAAAAAAAATATTTATTGTGAAAGCTTAGTGCATGGTATACACTGGAATGAGAAATAATGCATGGGAAATCCACCTGTCTCATTGCCTAACTGATAAGCATCTGCTTCAGACTTTTACTTTCCAAAACCCCAGGCCTTCCTGGGCTGTGAATGTTAAACTGTGTCCGTGTTTGCCATTCTAAATCACAGATGTATTTTGAGCAGATGTGGGGCTGGTTTCCTGTCGTTGAAGGGGATACAAGGTGAGTATTTCAGATTTCCCATCTATGTGGAGCCGTGTATTTCTATTTATGAGTGTGATTCAGGTTCACTTGAGTCAAAGCAAAGACCCCATTTAATTTCCACGGGCACTGGACTGCAGACACAAGGCAGTTAATGATGGGCACAGTTTCATTCTGAAAGCAGAACCAACCCATAGATGTGCTCTGCTGTAAGGCCCAGACTTGAATAATTCTTTTACCCCTCTACAGTTATTCTGCCTTGTTGCTCTGTGGCCTCCATGCCTTCCCTTGTTGCCCACACTGTTGTTGGCATCTCACTACTAGAATTAGAATTGTGCACTTTGTACGGTGCTGCTGAAAGATTGACAGGCCTCTAGATAAAAAACAGCATTACTTTTAACTATCACTTCTTTAGGGGCAGCCACTGAAATCAGATTGGAACTGGAATGACATGATTTGGTGTCAGATCTTTCAAGAAGAAGAGATGAAAGGGAAAAATGTCTATTAATCATGGGAAAGTTCCCTCGTGATGGATAGGATTAGTTCTTATCCTTAGTGGATCATGAGACATCAGAAGTTAAAATTGTCACTGGTCCTTTAAACCAGTCAAAAATCCTGTTAGAATTGTTAAAAAAAAAAAATCCCTTTTTCTTTTCACATCTTGAGACAGGTACAAATGGAAGCAGAGCTCAAGGTGCTACCAAGCCTTGCAGCCCTTTCAGGGCCAAACATCCATCAGGAGTGACACAGATGCAGCTGATCTGCCTCCAAGCAAAAGGAGAGATAAGGTGGCCCTTGAGATCCTTTTCAACACTACTTTATAAAAGTCTGATCAAAATACTAGGGAAAACCTTACCCTCACTGAAGGCAGTGGACAACTCAATGAATTCAACTGAATTGGAGTTTTACCCAGTGATGTTAATTAATTAAAGAAGATGGGCAGGATGGGAACAATCTTCTAATTCCCTGAAATAGTCCTTGCTCTGCACTAAGCAGGGACCAACCTCCCCACAGCTAGTAAAAGACTATTTCAGTTCTTTATTACATGAGGTAAGGCAGTGATCTCTCTGGTGTATCAAAAATTGTGATAAACTCTTGAGCTGCTATTCTTGTGAAGGTATAAAAGTTACACTGCTTTCTCTGGACAGCTCATCACCAATGCAGAGTTAAGGGAACTGAAGTGCTTTTGTTGTGTGAAGGGCTGTTCATCCAGAAATGAGCTGGAAGAGTACTTCCTTATCCAGCCATATTCAGCTGAGGTAGTGGGAGCTACACAGTAATTTTCAGCAAAGCCTGTAAGCAGAAGATAGACTATTTGCTTTGAACAACACTCCTCCAAAATACAATCCATAGACTTCTAAAACTATCACAGAATCATAAAATTGTTGAGTTGGAAGTGATCCTTAAAGGCCATGTAATCAAACTGCCTGCAATGAACAGGGACACCTACAGCTCTATCAGATGCTCAGAGCCCTGTCCAGCCTGTCCTTGAATGTCTCCAAGCCGGGGAATCCTCCATATCTCTGGGCACCCTGTGCCAGTGCTTCACGACCCTTATTGTAAAAATCTTCCGTATATCCAATCTAAACCTCTTCTCTATTTGTTTAAAACCATTTCCCCTTGTTCTCTCACCACAGACCCTGCTAAAGGGTCTGTCCCCTTCTTTTTTACAGCCCCTTTAGATACAGACAGGCCGCTCTCAGGTCTCCCCAGAGCCTTCTCCAGGCTGCACAGCCCCAGCTCTCTCAGCCTGTCCTCATAGGAGAGGTGTTCCATCCGCATCTGCATCCACATCTATGTGACAGCCCACATCCCATACAATCCTTACTGATCTTCTGCAAATAGCAGCTTCCAGCTGGTCCTGAGTCTTGTTCCTCTGGTTCTGCACATAATTAGTGGCTTCATTGTGGGCCAATTCCTACAGCTTGAGGCTTAAGTCCATTGGCTTTTCTTCTAAATACCATTCCTGCAATGTAATGTGATAACACAAGAAAAATATCAGTATTTCAGAGACTGTGCTGAAGATTCACATCAAAACATGTGGCTGTGATCAGGGCATGTGAAGGAGCATAAAGAAACCTTGACTTCTGATCCCAGCTCTGAGGCTTTTCACAAAAAGCTGTTCAGATACATGTGCTGAGCAGGCTCCTGAGGACCCAGACCATGTTTAAAGACATACATAACCCCAGCTTCAAAGGATGTGTCTTGTACCTTCTTGTTCCCATTTATTAAACAGAGTCAGTGGTGTGAAGAGATCTACCTCGCTGAGGGTTTGTGGGGATTAATTAGTAAATGTTTATCATGTACTGGGATGTGGAACACTCTGCTTTGAATGCCAAGCTGCATTAAAAATTGGGCTCCTATTTAATTTCTCAGAAGAACTTTATTACCCATTATTATTGACTTTCCTATGCAATTTTAATGGCTGTATAGTACTTCCAGAAAAGATTTAACTAACCTTCTGCACCTCCGATTAATTCATTTCCCTCTTGGTGCCCTGACAGCTCGACAAACATCTGCATGGAGCTGCTGGATGCAGCAGCCATGCAGTGCTGCGTGCTGCCTGCTCAATGTGCCTCTGGTCAAGGTCCAGGGAGCAGCAGCTCTCCAGGCAGCATGCTGCCCCATTTCTGGGTATTTTAGGGAAAGGACATAGAAGAATTCCAATGAATTAAATAGCAGCTGGCTGAGCACCTTCCTGCTACAATCCTCAATGAAGGCAGGTGACACTAGGATGTGCACCAATCCCACACAGCCAGGTGACTTCACTTTCCATTAACTCACCTGGATTTTTCCTAAAGATTTTTCCTGAGAGCTGCAGCCTTTAAACTGGTGCTGACAGCTCAAACTGGTGAGTTCATGGAAAGCAAAGTTGTGGACAATTAAGGAAATGTCAGCTGACAAAGGTAATTAATGGCTATTGGTTCCAGCAGTCACTGCAGTGTGGTGCAACTGACAAAGTGTGAAAGTGATTGTTGTAAAGTAGTGATTTGGGCTACTTTGTGCATGAGGGGCACGTCACCATATTCCCCTTGTATCCATTACTGTACCCACAGAACAGGTAGCAGACTCACAGGGATCATAACGTGGCTGCCACAGATGCTCCATGTGGAGCACTGGGTTAAAACACCTCTGGCAAGATCTATGTCCCCACTGCAGTACGTTGAACATCACCAACCTGCCAGAATAGGCCTTGACTTTAAAGGAGGTGGCCAAAGAGCTATTTAAATAGCTGTTATTTTCACTAACACCTGAGTGCAGAGGTTTGGATGAGAGCTGAAGTTGTGCCGGTGCTTTAAAAGGGCAGATGGAGAGAGCCAAGTATTCATAAGGCTAATGCTGTTACTGATTTACAGCTGGAAATTGATCCTCGGCAAAAATGTGGAATAGCTGATGAAGGACTCAATGAATAAAAAATTACAGGAAATAAATATAATTAAAATAAATCATGTTGATGTCTTTCTTAGACTGCAACACGTGGTTCATTGCAAATGGTGATATTAAGTATTCATCCCTTGGTAATGAACCTGGCTTGGTGACACTCAATAGTTCCATGAAAAAGTGAAGAAGAAATCAATGTGTGGTTCAAACTGCCCAATATTTGCTAATTGCTCATAGATTGGAAAAGGTGTAAATATGACCTCACTTGTACTGGAAAATGAGGCTGCAAGTAGGTCAGGGGCAGTACAGAAGGAGCTGAACAGGTTGATCTATTCAGAACATATAGGTGTATTTACTGCCTGTGCATGGTCTGCATCCAGGAATGGATTTTAAGCTGGTTGCTGCAGGGGAGGCTGCAATTTCAGTTCATTGGATCTCACTGCTTCTCCTGCATGCAGCCAGAATCAGCTGTGCAGCCTCAGTGCAACTTCCCATGCTGGGCATGTCCAAGGCTTCCCCTAACCATCCCAAAAGCGAGACAGATGGGCCCTTTCTCCATATCCCCCAGTCACCACTGTAGTCCCTCAGCCGGACCAGCACCTCCATCAGTGGGAGAAGCAGCTCTGCAATGCCCACATGAGGCTGGGAGCAGCTCCGAGAGGTTTGCTCTGGAAATGAAGGGAAACATTCCTGCACCCCTAACTGCAGGATAACAATTCTCCAGCCCTTTTGTTGGAGATGGAATGCTTACTGTATCACTTGGGCATACGTCCTGCCCAGTCCATGAGCTGGCTGTGGAA